CCCCCCCCCCAATTGTATTTTAGGCCAAACTTAACCTGAAATTTGTTTAAAAATTTAAGAACATTTCTTTGGCCATTTCCAAAATCAATTTTAATAGCCCAGCATTCCCATATACTTCATACAACAAAATTCTATCCATCTGAACTTAACCTCAGACCCTGAATTATGCATTGAGGTTAATGTGATGTTCCAGGAACCCCCGACTTGCCTGCACTGCCCTGGGCCATCAGGCCAGACACAGTGACGCCAGCCTCGGGCTGCACCAAAGGCTCTGCCCATGGCTTCCACAAGTAGCACACTGTTGGACATGCGAGTCTGTCCACATGCGAAAGTGTCTTATACTCAGGCCACGTTTTAAAGCATGCCAAATATCTTTCAATTTTTCGCCCAAACTTAACCACACATAAGATATTTCTAAGGCCTCATCTACTGTGTGACTAGAATCCTCTTCATTCCCAGGAGTTGTCCCATGATCACCCACCTGCTGTACAGTATCTTCATATCTACCTAGACCACGTACATTCCTCCAAACCCCTCAGGATCTGCTCTCTCTTTATAGCCTCCGTTTCATGGTTTTCCCCTGGCATGTCCACGCCATTCCCCGACCCACCCTTACTAACCCACCTGGCTGTTTCACTCAACCAAATGGGTTTTCTAAAATGTATTTCCAGGTCAGTTTCCACCAGGTCATGGTGGAAAACCCTGGACACAATACCCTGGAGGGGGCTGCAGTGGGTTTAGAAACATGGACCAGTTTCCAGTGTCAAATAGAGAAGGTTGTCAATGTGAGTTTGCTACCAGCACCCTACCACCGGAGTTCATTTTCCTGCCTCTCACCCCGGACACTGGTCAGCTGTCTCTGTAAAGTCAGTCTACTTCAGTACCTATTTAAAAAAATACTAAGGCACAAAATCAGTCTCTCTCCCAAGAAGCATGTTCCACAGAGGTCTGTGGTGGTCTATGATAAAGCAGCATGGAACCAAGAACTGACACCATCACCAGGCAGTGGAGAGGAGCGTAAATCAAACCTAAAGGCTTAAATACAGTTTCCAGATACGGCTTTGGCATTTTATATACCTGCTAAGTCCAAGCTGGAAGATAAATACTTGTGCAAAACAAAGGAAAGAATAGTAACTTACAGCTTACACTCCATCTTTCTGGCCCTTGCTTTCCCTTCCTTAAGCCACCTATTTCCAGTGGAGACCCCTTGGTTGTACAAATACAAGCAGGCGCCAGGAAGCCCCGAGCAGGCCAGTCCGCTGGGCCTCACACGTTCTGATGGCTGCACCACAGCTGGGCAAACCATTTTTAAAGGCAGACAAAACTGAAGTCAGAAACTTTCAATGAGTTGGCATCTGATTTCTTGCTTAGAGTCAGAAACACTGCGAGGCTGGCCCCTAAGAGCCCCCCGCCCAAGCCAGATCTCCGGGTGTCGTCATTCCATGGGCTGGCCGCGCTCATACAGCACTGAGTCAAGGTCCCTGAAACACAAAAGGGTGGCCTCTGCTCTGCAGGGTCTCGGGTGTAATTGTTTCCTCCACTCGCCTCCTGTACTGAGGCTGCTTAAAATCAAACCAGTGTTCCTGAGACACAACCACCAGACCTGCGGCTGCCCACCACCCTCCCCCCTCCCCCTGGGGCTCAGCAGTGACGCCCACAGAGAGAGAGCTGGAGCTTCCAACTTCTCTCCAAACAGGGCGGCTCCTCCTCGTGGGTGTCTATCACCTGCCCCAAATACAGGGGGAATTGAATACCCAAAGTAGAACTGAAGACCTATCGATACCAGTTTAGGGTATCATTTTTAGCCCACAATTATTTTGTTTCCCCTCCTCAGTGGTTTGAGGAGACTGTGGCTCTAAGTATAACTGTGCCTCTTGGAACAGGCAGAAAAGCAGCAGGGAGGCACTAACACGTCACTCTGGAGTCTTCTAACGAACCCCATTACTCAGGAGGCGGCATTCCTGCGTGGAGCAGGCACTTGGCGTTGCAAGGCTCCCTACGACCTGTTTGCATTTCCATCCCAACTCCCAAAGTGCCAGGACTTCTGGTTTTCTACAAAGTGCAACACGTTAGGAAAAGCAAACAAAATTTAAAATAATTACCAATGATTTTACAGGCTACATTTAAGTTCTTTTCCCCTCACTCCATATTCCCCCCACACACATACACCAACAAACAAACCAAAAACAGCCACCTATGAAAGAGCTCCACAAATTAATCTGTTTTTCATAAAACACTCTAAAAAATAATGATGGCCATCATCTTATATAAGTATGTGATAGCTATGATAGCATGCTTTCTTCTGAGCAAAATCCTAAAAACCAAAGAAACAGTTTGCATAGGTATATTTCACTTTGTGTAAATCTGACTACGATAAGGCTACTTTCCGTGTTTGGGTGATCCACCGAGTCATCTCTCCAGCAGCAAGGAAACTGCCCTGCTTTCCAGGTTCCCTCCAACCGCACCCGACTCCGAACGCGAGTGTTGGGCGTAAAATGCAAAGGGACACGTGGTGCGCGCTTACGTGATGGAGGCGAGGGGGCCCTTCTTTATTCTTCCCTTTTATAAAACGGAAGCCAAGGTGCAGAGGGCCACGGGAACGGTGTGCTCGCTTCGCGTGTGATGGAGGGGCCGACCTCCTGACACGGGTGCCTCCAGAAATCACTGAACCCCAGAATCCGCTTGGTGCGATCTATGCTGCAAGATGAGTTGACACAAAGGGATGGAGAATAACCACCAAAATATTTGAGGAAGAACAACCGAGCAAAGAAGCCCCAGCAAAGGAGCAGCCAGCTTATGAGACTTACATTCTGTTTAAAGCAGGGCGGAAAGACCCGGCTAGAGGAGAGGAGGTGGACAGAAAGGTCCCCTCCCCACAAATCAAGTATTGTCAGGAAATATCAAAGTAGAAATTTTTGTAAGCAGCTTTGCATTTAACATTCAGTCAAGACACTATAACCTTAAAAAACAAGAACCTCTATTTTAAAAAAAAAAAAAAAGCTAACAATAGGAGTCCTCGAAGTCCCCCAGGATCTTGTAACAGAGAATGGAGTGTTCCTGGGCCAAGGCCGCCAGCTCCTTCAGGAACTCCGGGAAGAGGGCGGCGGCCAGCATGGTGTTCCTCACAGGCAGCGGCAGGCTCGGGGGCACCCCGGCCACCTTGGCTCTGTTTGTCAGGAAGGGCTGAAGCACTCTTGGGGGACCATCCAAAAGGCTCCTGCCAGTTCCTGTCCTGGAAGCATCCTGAGTGGGATCTGAAAGCAAAAAGCAGACCGTCACGGGGACCCTCCACAGCCCTGGACGTCCAGCCCCTTATGTGTGGGTCTGAGGGGAAGGAGGTGGGTGGAGAGTGTCACGGGTTCATTCCTGTAACTGACTGAAGTCTGAAGACAGCCCTGAGCGCACACTGGAGTCCACTCGGTGGCTCACATAGGTGCCCAGCAGGTAACCTCCAGCACAGGGCATGCGATATGAGACTTTCATCCCAAAGCCTGTATAAGGAACATGGTGCAGAAATTGTGGCAAAAATTTAGGTCCATCAGGAACCCTATGCCCAGAACACGGCAAGGGGAAGAATTGAAAAGGGCATCTCCTGCCACTGCATCAACCAAGTGAAGACTTAGCTCACCACGAAGGTACTGGGATGTCCAGGGGCTCCGGCTGCTCTCCCAGCCTCCGGGTGTTGGGAGACTGTCCTACCTGTGCCAGCAAAGCCCCGAGCCCATAGTATTACTGCAGCGGGGAGGCTGGGTTACACAGCCACTGTGAGCTCTCTGCAGCTCGCACTCTGGCCTCTCGGGCTCCATGGTGACCCCCAGCCCATTCTGGCCGGGACCTCCAGCCTTCAGGGGAGAATAGAATGGAAGAAGCCATTGCAAAGTTGGAAATAAGAGGAAGGCGGATGCTGGTAAGACCAGACTGGGCACTTCCCATAANGCCATTGCAAAGTTGGAAATAATAAGAGGAAGGCGGATGCTGGTAAGACCAGACTGGGCACTTCCCATAACTGTGGGCCTGTAGTGGCAAGTGGCTTGGGAGCCTCCATTTCAAGGTTTCCAGGGTTTTCGATCTCAGTTTCAGTAACACAGGTCTACAATGATAATGAGCCCAAACTTTAACATAGTCAAGTGATTTGCATTTTCATATCAAAGCAGTTTCACTAATTAAAATGGTTCAGCTTTCCGGACTATTTAATTCCTAAGCATCTATCTCCAGCCTTCATATATTTATAGGAATTATTTCTGCCTTCTTCTGCCCCCTACTCAAACAGTCTCATTACTCCTTATAAATCATTATATTCAAGCTCTTCATTATTTTGGCTGCTTTCAGAATCCAGTCCCATTTTTTAACACTCTTCTCAGAGTGTCGCTTAACTACAGTACTAAAAATTCTTGACATTTATAGTACTTTCCATATCTCACTACTATAGTCTTTAGTGTTAAAAAAAATCCTTCGCTTTCACTGCTTTAAATATCCTTTTAAAGCTTATCCCAGTTCGTGCCATAAAGAACTGAACTGGAAAAGCAGTTGAGAATCTGCTGCTACTTTTTAGCAGAGGCCCACAGCATGTCCTGACATCAGAGTGAGGTCCAAAGTGTTGACATCACTGAGGTGCCCTCTCCAGCCATGGAGACCACCCCCTCCACACCCCCACCCCAGGCCCCAGCACTGCATCTCTCCAAAGGGTCCTGTGAGGCTCCCCAAGGGCACTGTCCAAACTGGATACCAGTGGGGAATGGGACAGATGGGCACTAACCCCAGACCGAGACCTGCTCTGCTGGCGCAGCTCCCCCACCTGGAGTCCCCATCCCCCCCGTGGTCCCCCCCATCTCTATTACTAGCCTTAAGACACTCCAGCACAGCGGCTGAGAGCAGACTCTGCCACCTATTGGCTGAGTAACGTTGGGCAAGTTGCTTTACCTCTCTGTACTTTAATGTCCTCATAGGTGAAAAGTTCACAGCGTTTTAAGGATTAAATGTGTCAATAGGTATAACGTACACAGGGGCCTCTTGATAAGGGTCAGCCTATGTCGTCATCAGTTCAGCTGCCACTCCACAAAGCGCTTCCTATTTCCTGCCCCAGAAGGAATTCCGTTTAGCCCCCCACCCCACTTTATCTACAACTAACGCCTGCATCGCCCTTTAGGCTGCACTGCTGTTCCTGTGTTTCCTCCTCTACTAGACTCGGAGACTTCTGAGAGCTCAGCCCCTACGTGATGTGTCCTTCCCGGCCCCAGCACACTTCCTTATAAATAGCAGGAGCTAATAAACATTTGCTGAATGAATGAGGGAAGAAACTGACCAACATCAGGTTCTCCCTACACCTGATCTCCCTGGAGCTGGTTCATATCCCTCATCTCCATCTTTCTCTTTCAAATTCACTCCTCTTTTCCCCCCAAAAAAGGGTTCTTTGGCTCATTTATCTCGCTTGATTCATGAGTTTAAAGTGTCATCACTAAGGTTCATTTACCCAGCTTGAATCCAAGACTCAAAACTGTCTTCACTGAAGAAGGCAGGTGGCCCCCAGTGAAGGAGACGAGGGCTGGCAGGAGACCCTTATGGAACTTTGGTCCTGTCAGCACAGGGCTGGCCTTCCACTGGGTCACACAGTCCCATTGGGCTCTCGACTCAAAGCAACAAAAGCAGAGTTGTGGTCCCTACCTGGCAGCCAGCCTATCATAAAATGTCTCAGTTTCCTTTTCTGTAAAATGGGACCAATACCTATCATCTCCCTCCCAGGACTAGAGAGCAGGGAAAGGACTCAATATAAGTAAACACAACCTCTGTGCTTTATAAAGTATTCAAGGAAGAAATGAGGAGCCTGGCAAGTAGTTGAGCCTCAGAGACCACGTGAGGATGTGATAGCTGGCACGGGAAGTCCACCGGCTCCACAGTGACGGTCACCCGGACTCCTACTTCTGTTTGAAGGGTTAGTGAGGAGGCTCTTTTTCTCCCAGGGCTACCAGGAGGCCGAGGGAACACAAGGCCTGCCTGACGGAGCAGCTCTGGCTGTGGGCGCCTGACTGCACCCCTCATAAAGGGCTCAAGCACACAAGCACCTGCACGAAAGGCGGGGAGGAAGGGAAGCAGAAATCAATGTCAGGGTCAGGGGTGGTTTTCTGAAACGTTGCCCTGGGTCTGAAAAGCCACAACCGAGCACTTTCAAGACTAATGCTGGAAAGATTTCGGAAACGAGGAGAGCAATCGTTACCGCTCATCTCGTCAGCAATGTCAGACGAAGCGCAAGCACACAGACCTGGAAACGCCAGGATTTGGCCTTTGACTGGGATTCTTTATTATAAATTGTTCTGTGTCCCAGTGAGAGCGGGGCTCCTAGATTGAACTCATCTACAGGCAGCACCCTCAATGCTCCTGGAGCCAGCTCTGTACAAGGGGACAGGGACCTTTCCCATTCTGTGAGTCGAGTTTTTTCAAGTTGAGGGAGGGTATCACTTTGCTAATCTGGAAGAAAGGAAGTTGATGTGGAAAATACTCAATGAAAGAAAAGCCTTACATCCCAAGAGAAGCCCTACAAGTCAAAGTCCCTGAAAAAACATCAGCCAGAGCTGACTAATTTGACAACCGTATGTGGGAACAAGCTTCCCTGGACACATATCTGGTGGCCACAGCCATCAGACAGTCTCAAGCCAGAAAAGAGCACAGGTGTGAGTGACCCCATCCCTCACTGGAACACGCACTTCTCGCCCAGGAAAGCCCATGACGTCGGTCAGCGTGTGGGCAGTCAGCCCCGTGAACTAGGCAGACAGTCTCAGGCGTTTGGGTTTCGTGGTCCCACCTGACTACCCTGGGCCCCTGCTTTTGGCTTCCTTTCATGAAAATGAACCCAACAGTTTCTTTCTTGACCACTTTGCAGTGCTGTTTGGAAATAAAAATTGACTGTCTGGGAAAGCATTTTATAAGTTGTAAAATATAAGTGAGGACCAAGCCTGGGGTGTAATGTAGGGAAACTGACACCACCCCGTCTGTCGACTGCAACACTGGCCATAATTCTTTGCAGCTCTTCCCATCAGGAGGTGGGGATTCTGCTCCTTTCTTGGACTGGAACTGGCCCAGGGACTTGCTTTGGCCAACAGAATGCATCAGAATTCCGGAGCCTGAAGAGATTTTGTACGTTCCTGCAAATTCTCACTTTGCAACACAGCGGCCATGACCTTGACAAGCAGGGCTAACCTGCTGGATAAGGAGAAGCACAGGCCCCTGTCATCCCCATCACCCCAGCCAGCAGCCACCAATATGACTGAGGCCACCCCAGACATCCAGCTACCTGCTGACAGCAACACAAGAGCCAAAACAGCAGAGCCTGGCCCAGATCAGAACAGCTGGGTAGCCACACCGACTCCCGAGTCCTCGTGAACGGCTTTCTGTTAACTCTGTTTCTGCAGTGGCTTGTTATGCACAGAAGCTAACTACCTGACGCACCCTCTCTCATAAGGTGAGTTGTGGCCATACGCTCCCTGTTCAGGAGGAACAGCTAACAGACTAACTGTGCCCATGGGTATCAGGAGCCTGCAGTCCACCTTAATGAGAGGTGGGGCTCCCTTCCCTGTACAAATGGCCTTCCATGCCCTCCTCCAGGGCCAAAGATTGAACCCCCCTATCCCCAGTGGCACAAGGCCCACCTTTCTTGCAAAATCCGCCTTGTGATGCCCTAAGGGTTCTTCACACCCAGAGTCTACAGCCAGAGAGGACTTCAGAGATGGAAAACAAATTCTTCACTTAAGAATCAAGGAACCTGAGACCCAGTGAGGCCCAATGACCAAGATCAAAGAGCAGCACAGAGGCGAGGTCAAGCCTTCAACTTCCTTTAAAGGGTTATAAATTGCTCTGAGGTGCAGTTCTGCCTCTCAGAGCCAGTGTCTGACCACCAGGGCAGTCCTCAAGTCTCCTGTTGAGCACCCACCCACCACCCTCCCTGCCCACCTTGCCAGGCCCCAGCCCAACACCGCTTGAACTGATGAAAAGGCCCTCTCAGGAATTTTAAGCTGAGCATAAACACTACTTCTCCCAGTCCAAATGAACAGTTTTTACCTTCTAGAGCCCTACAGCACACTTATTTTGGGCCCAAGAGTCTCTGGAAACAGAATGGATGCCCTCCTCAGGGTAGGGCCAGCCAAGAAACGCCTCCAGATGTGGCATGGAGTGCCTCCTCCTGGCCCCAGGCGCCGAGGTACTTATTCTAGCCTGGCGACAACCCACACACTGTGTGCTCCTTCCCGAAGCCCCTCTCGGTTGGGAAGCAAATGCCCGCTAGACCCTCCAAACCGAGAACAGGCTGGGCGTGGGCCAGGCAGACCTTTCTTTAGGCTTAAGAACACCAACAGAAAGCTCCTTGCTGTTGGGGAAAAATGAAAATATATTTAGATGCTCTTAGAGCCCAGGAGCCTATGCAGCATCTTTGAACCTAGATCGGGAGGTGGGGGAAATGGGGGAGCCGGAGAAGGAGAGACACAGGCGAGAAACCTCTTACCTTTGGTTAGTGACTCAGGTGTCACGTCGGACATGTCCACTCGGAAGAGCAGGTATTGCTGGGCTTGTATGAGGAGTCCTGGGAAGTCTCTCTCCACAGAAGCAAACTGTTCAATTTTGTTTTTCACAGATGCTAGGACCTGTCAAAAACAACATTAATGATGTTAATGCTTCAAACGGAATTCCACCCTGTTATCAGTGTATCTCTCAGGTACAGCCCTCCTTGCAGGAGCTAGTACGTTAGGGATTTGCTCATTTTTAACTGCCGGGGTGTTTTGGTAGGGCACCCTCGAAACAGCAAACTAAATGAGGCTTTGCAGTTTGTCTAGAATAATCTACACACAACCAGCAAACCCGGATGAGAAAGAAGAGCGAATAATTTAGAGGAATTTGTTAACAAAATAATGGGAAGAAGAGGAGGAGCCTTGCTCATTAGCACCCATAAAATCAGCCGGTACGGATGCGGGCTCAGCTAACATACCTGGTAGAGAGAACGGACACTTGGCTGGAAGACCATGTTGGTGTTGAGCAGAAAGGAGCGCAGAAGTGGCTGGGGGTAGCTGGCTAGCTGAGTAATGATCCCGATTAGCAGCAGATTAACATGCAAAGAGTTCTCCAGCATGTTCTCCAACTTTGACAGGACCACACTGATGAATGGGCCTGCGGGAGAAATACAAGGCTTCAGGGCTAGCCAGGCACAGGGGATGTCTTTCTCTGGCAGCTAAGGAGCCACTGGGGCCACGGCTCCCAAACCACAGCCCCACCAGGTGCAAATCCAGTACAGACATGGGAGATGCAGATGGGTCTTCTCCTGCCTCAAACCCACACACACAAAACCTCCGCCACAGAAAGAAAGCAGACAAGTGTGCATGGGAACTACTATTTTGACTCCATGAGCAGTTGCAACACTTGGAAAATTATCATAGACCTTGACAAATAATTTTTAAAATTAAGATATACTTTTCCACAGAGTTTCTGCACTTCTTACTTCTTGGTGCTGCCAATGCTCAAAACCATGACATTTATCAGCTCATGATCCTTAGTGCCTTAGGGTTCCATGCAAACATTAGAGGCTACCACAAGTTTGGGTAACAAAAAATCTTCATGCTATTCAAGAATACCAAACCACATGAACTAAGTTGGTCAAATAGTAACACTGTCAACAGGAGCTGTCTGTCCCCAATAAGCACCATGAGAAAGATTCTTGTCAAACGTCACAATGCAGGACAAGGAGAGAGAGAGGAGGGAGGGTAAATAAGGCTGGTAGCCCTGAACAACTAGGTAACCACACCTCAATTTTCAGAGGGAAGGAAGGGAGAGAAGGGACTTGGTCTGGGGAGATATAGTTTGGTATGTCATAGGTTCCTTAAAAAAGAAAATCCATTATTTCATTTTTTTTAAAAAGCAGTTCATAAAAAAAATTGAGAAAAAAGGAGCTTCGGCTAATTTGGGTCACCAGAAAATTAATATGCTTTATGTTTGAGTTCACTGAAGGCAGGGGGTAAAAATCAAGAAAATTAATCTGGCATTAACAAAATTACTGGAAGATATTTTCTAGTTTTACCATAAAAGTGGTCCATTAAGCAAAATCAATGAGAATTTTGTGTTTCCCCCAGTGGAGCTATTGATGATGCCACTAAACCATAGCATATCTATAACAAAGCACATACCCCTGGATGGAGAAATGTGCTTTATGAAGACGCCACCAACATTAACATGAGTTTAATAGAAACAGAGTTTATCACAAGGTGCTTCATGCAGAAGCTGTGGTAGTGAGAAATGGGAACACCAACCACAAACCTCTCACCGTGCAGGCGAGTAACAGGGTAATGGCAATAGTCCCATCACCAGGAACACAAAGCATGTCTCTAAGGAGCCTCAAAACACAGAAAAAGCACCCCCCC